ACATTCCTTCTTTCTTCGAGGCTTTGTCCTTTCTCATTACTGGTAGACAGACCACCCGTACGGAGACATCTGCGGAGGGCGTAACGTTTACCAACCACCATTACTGGACAATAACCAATCCAGATTTACTGGACAACAATAACCAACGTACCATTTTTCGAGCCATGTACAGAATGGATCGCACGTCCTTTGAAAGGCTTGTTATTGAACTGAGCAACCACCCTGCTTTTGTTCTAAGAGCACACAACGCTTTGCCAGTTTACGTACAAGTATCCTGTGCTATATGGCGCTTGGTCAACTGTCATCTTGGATATAGAACTTCTCACATGGCTTGGGGTGTTTCACATAGAAGTTACATAAATTTTTTATACGGTTTTTAACAGCTGTTGAAGATGTTTATGGCGATTTCATCAGCTGGCCCTTGGAAACCGCCAGAGTCAATGATATCCAAAATGGCTTTGAGTGGCCACATGGTAATAGACCTGGAGCTATCCGTCGTTTGCCTAACGTTATAGGTGCCTTGGATGGTGAAAATGTTGTGATCAAAGCTAGAAAGCATCACAAGGAACAGTGGAGAGATAGAAAGGGAAATTTCTCTATGAAATTGACGGCTATCTGCGACGATAGAGGGCTTTTTACGTACATACGTGTTGGAGATTCAAGTACAATAAAGCTATTTCGGAACATTTTTAGAGTGTGTGGTCTGATAATTAGATAGGCCGTACTCACGATGCTGCAGCGTTTCGATGGACTGAGGTTTATACAGAATTCTAAAATAATGCAAATAGATATTGTTTATTTAATAGATATATTCCTGCCAGTAAGTGCTTATCTTATTAGTGGATTACATTTATACTTATCATTGTTTATTGTCGCATATGTAGATTCGGCATACCGTTTATGTCCGAACATGATTGTTCCCTACCCAACAACGAAAGTTAGAGGCGAATCTGCCGAAGCTATATCGAAAAGAAAATTCAACAAGGTACACTTTTTTTTTTTTTTGTATCAACAGTGAGTTTATTTAACAAGATAGATATAGAAGTAAAAAAAGGGAAAGCTAAACTATTTCGGTTTAGCAACCTTTGTCTTCGTAAACATTTTGTGACCTTTAATAGCATGTTGCGTCTGGACAACTAACTTAGGAGCAGGACCTTTGGAGGTTTGCTTGATAGCCTTCTGTTTACCCAAAATGGAACGCTTTTGTCCTAGCATTTTTCTTCCACCTTTAACCATTTTAACAGCCAGATGGGATGTCTGAACAGTCACCGGTAGTGTACCCTCGTCTTCTTCAATTTCCATGGACACCGTTTCAACAGTTGTGGCGTACTTATACGTTGAAGAACCACTTTCCGCAATCTTCGACGGCTGGTACACATCTGACAGGTCTGTATCAGAATCGGAGATAGTCTGTTCAACAAACGTAGGCAGCTCGATATTAGATTCCTCCTTAGGAGTATTGACTTGCACTGGCTGAAACGTTTTCGTTTTACAAAACTTCGCGGTATGACCATAACCTTGACAAGCGAAGCACTTGGTTTTGGTCAATTCGGGACATTTGGAGCGTACGTGACCGGCGTGGTGACACCAATGACAAACGATAGGGGCACCTTTGAAGGATGCCGAAGCAAAACAATCCCATTCGTACAAATATAAATTATTCGACAGCGGCTCATTGGCAAACTCTGCACTATCATCATCAGAATAACCGGTAGTCGTATTGAGTATCACTGATAATTCGCCTTCGAAATATCCACCACAAGTGTACTCCTTGACTTGCAAGACTTCTCCGTAAACAAGAAGAGACCTCATTAACTTTTCAAGAAAATCCTCCGTATCAGGAATATATAAAAGTGATATCTTCACGTGGGAAAGCTTCTTCACTTCGCTATCATTTGAATGGGTTCCTTTGATAACGGTGTTCTTGATTGTAACACCAGAAGAAATTGCCTTGTCAAAACTTGAGTCAACAACAAATTTGGCTTCAATCAAATGATCACCATCTAAGCTGGAACCATAATTACTGATTGGGCGGAAACCATGGACAGGACCACATTGCGTTTCAATAAGCTTATATGCTTCGGTACGATGTTGGATTAACGAAGCAGGAATGGAGAAAAGAGCGGAGTCAGGTGTCAGGGCCTGTTTCACTATTTCGGTAGCCTTCTGCATTCTGATGAGGCCTTCAAGGTCTTCACTTTGGTAGATGACCTTACTTTGTAACTTGAATTGAAAGTCCACATTGTTAGGGACAGATAAAGGACGAACAACTTACATGGAATTACCACGGGAAGCGATTGTTGCCCAGGAATTGTGAAGTGTTTCTGCCATTGTTTAATAATCCAGAAAGAAAATTAAAATTGGAGATTGAGAAATGATAATGTTGAAATATTTGCCGGATTGGTTAAATGTCGAGATAAACGGCGAGATCGAAGAGATGGAGGGGAGCGTAATAAATAAAAAAAGATAGAACCGACAGAGAAGAATCGAATGCAAGAACAATTTCTGATGGATGTATCAAATTCACTGAGATATCGTTGAAACAAGAGTATGGATGCAAATACCTTTTGTAAAAATTCTTTAAGCGAAAGAAAGCCTTCAACAAGGTACACTCTTCGGCCAGAATGACAATTGAGAGAGCATTTGGGACACTTGCAGCACGTTGGAGATTTATCAGTAAGTATGTTTATATCAGAAAAACAAAGGATATATGTCCAGTGATTACTGCAGCATGTATCCTTCATAACCTCTGTATAAATATCGGTGATCCTGACTTCCCTCCGGATATAGTAGATGATGACTATGTTTTGGAGGAAAGTGGTAATAGCAATGAAAATGATAGAGAGGGTAAGAATGGTGGATCTGTAGCTGCAGGACTACAGAAGACCGCAATTTAACAGATGGTTTTCACAATAAAGAAAAATATTTACTAGCAATTATTTATTGATTATTACGCATTTGAGGAGCTAACAAAGCTAATAGTTCACTCATCTGAGCTTCTGATCTTCGGTATATGGCATTCCCTCCCGCATTTCAGCTATCATGTTATTAGCATTGGCGTTGTTGCTAGAAATATGCGTCTCCATGTACTCCCTCAACATTCTTTCATGACGGCCAAGCTCCCTATCGTTTACACAATTTCAAACTGCTTCCCAACCTAACTGTTCCGGGGTTAAGTTTACCTGTCGTGGGCGAGGAGGTACTGGTTGGTTAGGTGATTGGCGAGGTCTAGGTGTCGGCTCTTGACAAGGTCTAGGTGTCGGCTCTTGGCGTGGACGAGGTGTTGGTTCCTGCTGGGGGGAGGAGAGGGTGATGGTTGTTGAAATGAAGGTGGTGGTTGGCGATGAAAGGAGGGTGATGGTGGTTGATAAAAAGGTGATGTTTGACGAGGGGGAGGCGATTGAGGTGGCACAGTTCTTCTTCTACTAGTGGGATGTTCTAGGTCCTCGGACATAGAAGGTCGAACATGCTCAAAAGTTGACGATGATGGATGCAAAGAGGAAGAGGAGGGCAAAGGGTTTGCTTCTGCACTGGGAACAGGTACAGATGGTGGAGCTGTATTATCCGTAAAGCGTCTCGTTTGAGAGGAGTAAATATGGGGAGGTCTAATTGTAGGATAATCCTGAAGTATTTCATCCAACTTGTCATATATCTCATCAGGGGCGAAGCCAGATTCTCCAGTTGTTGATCGTCTGGTGAATTCTTTCTTGTAATTCTCAACAAGACTCTTCCATTTACTCTTGATAGGTTCTAATTCCCGAGGCGGAACATTGGCATGTTGAGCTTTTTAATCATACTCTTTTTTCAAATTACGGTAAGTTTCTCCAGTCTCGAAGTCGCTTCCAGAACTTTCAAGAGTAGTTAAATAAATGGCATTGCATTCGATAAGCAACATTGTTTTTAAATATGGCCATGAAGGACCACGTCTTCTTTGAGAGCTGGGATTGTCACCAAATGAAAAAACCCTGAACATTGTTAGGGAAGGTAAATAAAAAAATGAAGTTTTATAAGAAATGAAATATTCCAAGTAACAAACGGTTAAATTATTTGAGACTAAAACTAGATATCTTTTTATTAAATGGAAAAGGGGATCCTTTTTATAAGGAAGGATTGAAATAGATTGTTATCCGGGAAGATCAGATAAGAGCGTGGATTGGAAGTAGACATTAATATCTTGATCAGTTAATGGTTTATGTTTCAGTGCTGGGTTTCTATTAAATGTCAAGTAGATTATAGGCTGGATATATAGTGTGTATATATCAAGAAAAATAAAACGAAGAATAAGCCATTGTGGATTTTTATATATTGAAGCAGTCGGGTCATCTTAGTATTTCAATATCAAATTTTTACGTCATGTCATACTTGTTTTTACTTTTTTGTAATTTATACCCCCCCTAGGGGGTATATATTACTAATTTGTAAATTGCCCAACCCCTCATAAATTTTGGCTGGTAAAGATTTTTTTTAAAGTTTAAATTACTATTTTGAGCGAAATACTTTTGTTCCCAAAACGTGAAAAAAGTTTCGCTTGGGAACGGCCTTTTTGCACTGAAAAATTTTCGACCTTTTTTATAATTATCTCTTTTTGTAACATTAATTTTTTAATTATTCAAAATGGAATCTGATGTAACATTTCATCAAAAAAAATAAAAAAAACAAACAACGAAAATAAAGTCTTATATTTGGACCATTAAAAATTTTTTTTGTGTGCTTGTGAGGGGCCTAAGAATCCCCAATAATATCAAAGAAGTTATCCAGGTCAATGAAGATCCTTTTTTTTGTATTAGGTCAATTAAAATCATTTTTCGCTTTTAACACATTAATAAAGATCTTTTATTTGTGTCTGATCAACTGTATAAGACTTCATTAAAAATTAACCAGTGAATACCGCTTTTGCCAAATATATATATATATATATATAAACGTGTGAACGCAGACCTGGGTTTGGATTTATTTGTCGAGGAAACGAACGAAATTGAAAAAGACTTACTGTAACTGGTATGGTTCTCGGTCGCACTCTTCCTAAAGGAGATGTCAGAACAAGCAACTCGGATGACATCACGCTATCAGTTGAGCAGATCAAATACGCTGCTTTTGATGCGTGGGTCCCTTTGGAGAAATTTAAAGAAATTAATCACCTTCGTCGAGTAAATCAAAAGGTGACACCTTTAGATACGGGAGCTCACGGTGTTATCTACGCCAGCTCTACTTGTTCTGGTAGCCCATACGCATATGGTTTTGTTGTTGATCAAGAGGATCATAAAGATTTCTTTTTGAGAAGCCATCAATTTGATACGCATGCCAATTCAAATATCATAGTTATAAGAAAATGCATCGTTGTTCAAGTCACCTCTGTTGTCCAAAGAAACATGATCGCAAAATGCGACAACTCCCGACTTTTACCAAATGCTAAAAAAAAGTGTCTTGGTGACCTTGAGACAGCAACATTTGTGGATAGGGGTAATGACACCCAATTTCTTCTGGTGGTCGAAGTATCAAACTTGAGAACGACAGCATCAGTTGATATTTTAAAGAAATATCCTCTTTCCCCTTGCTCCCAAACCGATCCTCGTAAAACACCTACTGATCAAAATAATGATGATGTACCTGCTCCTAGCTCTCATACGATGTCCACCATTCCTGAGTTGCCCTCGAGGGTACTAAAAGACATTTCTCATTGCTGGACATGATTCCAGTATCCATGTTTCAAAGTTGCTCGAAAGAGTTTAGCTCATAGAATTAATTTACAGTTGACAAGATTCTCAATTTTTATTATCAATAGGGGGATGTTCACCAGAACATAATTCGCAAGTTTGGCTTCTTCAACAGTTCTCCCGAACTTGCTAATTGCGCTCTTTCTGAGTATAGACTGAGACACAATACAGAAGTAACTTTATTTGAAAGAAAAAAACAAACTCTATATCACAATTAATCAAATAAAAAAGGGTAACTATACGGACACCGTTTTTTTTGGTGTTAAAAATATTGAGGGACACTGTTTTTCTGTCCGGCCCGGATTTTTTTTTTTTTTTTTTTTGCACTATAAAATAATTTCAGGGACACCGTTTTTTTTACGGACACCGTTTTTTCTTTACGAACATCGTTTTTTTTACGGACACCATTTTTTTTTACGGACACCGTTTTTTTCACAGACACCTTTTTTTTACTGATGGCGCCGTTTTTAGAGATATTAGTTCATTTTATATTTGAAAAAGATAAAGGTTTTATTGGGGTTAATATATATCGAGTAGGAAAAAAGAAAAATGGGCTTAAGTGTGTTGATAAAACTCAGAGAAATCAGTTGTGCAAACGTCTCTGTGCGTTGTTACAACTATTTTATGAAGAGGGCTAACTTGCGGCCAATGTTCATATTCGATGGGTTTTTTGCTCTTTACGTTGGTTTGGCGATCCAGAAGATAGAAATGCGAGCTTGTTAAAAAAATCATGATTGGATCAGCCAAGTATTGGGTATCCAACTCAAAGAAAGGGACAAAAGTCTGACGGGATTTGTTATAAACGATGTTACCGTCAAGATCACGTTCGATACCGGTCGTTTTAAATATTTTTGAAGAACTTAACAGAACCACGGGACGTTTCATTGTATCTGCAACTAGTTGCGGGTAACCGATGGTGTCAAACCACATATAACGGTCCTCCGGGTCTAAACAGGGAGATTTTGCTACTTTAAATTTTCTTTCTAAATAGTTCATGTCCAGTTGCATGGTTTCATATACATTTCGATATGACCGGAGTGTTGAGCATCGATTTTTTGACTTAAATCCAACCTTCTTCATGTCCAAACAGTGCTAGTCTGATTGCTCGAAATCCACACTTATCATCACCCTGAGGATCAATCAAAGCTACAGCTTGATTGGCATCTAATAAATCCAATTGTTTAAATAAACCAGGATTATTGTTCAGAGTTTGGATGGTTGTGCCGTTTTATCTTTCAAAATAACGTAAAAAGTCAGTTTTGAATGCTTCAACACGTTTAATAAAATACTTACTTCAATGAAATTTCTTTTACCACGTTTGATGGAACAGTTTTCTTGGCTTTTGTCAGCTGCTTCCTTTTTTTTTTATCTGTTTTATTTTTGGTGAGCTGTCTACGATATCAGCCTTGCGCTTCTTGATTTCATGCTTAATGGCATCGTCCTCGTGCTCTAGTGCCAGCTTTTCTCTCTTATTGCTTTTTGGGCGGCCCTTCTGGGATACCACAGTAACAGGAGGAAAGTGCGGTTTCGATTGATAACCTCCAAGCAAGATCATCGTACAAGGCATCAATACGCTTTATTATACTTTCGTTCTCTTGCTGGCTGCTGGCCGTCTTCAACAACAGAGAGAATTTTTCAAAACGGATCATCAGACAGCTTTCGTAGTCGCCCAATTCGTCAACGGATTGTGTTTTCTCACTGGCTTCTTTCGTTATCTCAGCAATGGTGGCAACTGAGGACATCAATATTAATATTTATTAGAATTTAAATTAAATATACAACCCATTAAAGAGTACTTACCACTTCCGTCAATATAATGGATTCTCCATCTTTTTGAAATTGCCTTAAGAGGCACAACGCTGTTGCTATCAAAGAGTAGCTTTACCAACACGTGTCTGCACGGAAGATTGTATTTTCTTCTTACAGAACACGGACAAGTCTGATTTCTTAGCAGTGCATGGCTCTTATGATTCGGATTTTCGCTGGCCAGTCTCAATTCTACCAATTCCGACTTTATACTCTCAAGAGCAATGTTAGTGATATTCGTTTGAAGTTGACGGACTTCCGTCATGATATCAACATCAAATAAGCCTGCCTGCTGTGTCAACGCCTCTCTCCTGGACTGCAAGTCGCGGTATTCCTCCTTTATTACATTAATTATTTTTAGTGAGTCTCGATTTACAGAGTACAATAAAAAATACTCACCCGTTTCTGGACCCAAGCGCTGATTTTACTTGTTACAATAGCCATACTTCCAGAAGATTTATGCGTGTGACGCCTGATGTTTGCATGAGTTGCCTTAACTCTATTGGATGTTCGATTACCCATGTGCATCAGAGCATCGACGGGATATTCTGTCAAGAGCGGACAGGCGGACAGGACAGACCGAAAAATACTTGCTTAAAAGAACAAAGAAATAAAAGATAATTATTATTTTTATTATAAGAGAGAGAGAGAGAGAAAGAAGAAAAGAGGAAAGAGGGTTGTTAGATAATATATCTGATGAAGGGGAAGAAAGAAGAGGGAAAGTTAGGCTATATTTATAGTAAAGAATTGTATAGATATTTAGCATAAAAATAAGCAATGACAAAGTTTAGTAAGTCATTACTTATTTATGACACATATTCGATGATTGATGGCTGACACGTAGATGGCAAGGTGCTGACAAAGAATTACCAAAATTAATGCATCTACGTGCCACGATCATGACATATCCTGCCCAAAAATTTGCCTTTCTCATCACGCTAATAAAGCCATTCAGTTAATTCTTGACAAAGTGATGAATATTTCTACATAAAATTAAATACTACATACAATTCCAAGTATTTCTTCTTGACAATTGCACCGTCTTTAGTACAGAGTTTAGGCCTGGATACAAAAGCATCAAACTCTACTTTTGCATTTTTAAATTCATCCAAAGTAGAGCAAATAAATGCCATTTTTTGAACAATCGTCAAAAAACTACGATCTCCAAGTTGAATTCTGGGATCTATGTTAATTGTAATTCGAGTAAGCTGAGAAGATGAAACTAGTTTGTATTTATTGTAGCTTACTGTCGGCCTTCACTTTGGAGCTTAAGTTCTTTTTAAACCGAAGATAAAAGTTGCGCTGGATGTGAATCCAACAAAGAATTTGCTTACTATTAGGAAAAACAGTTTTGATAGCCTTCAATAAAGCTACTTCCTTATCGGTGACGAAACATTTCGGCAACAAATTTTCAGCTGTACCAGCAGGCCATACAATATCTCTAAAACATTGAAGAGACCACTGATATCTCTCCGCTGTTTCCTTGTCCATCCAGCAGCCGGCAATGGGAACGGTGGTCAGCTGCTTTGGTCTTTCTTGAGAGCGCAAAGCTCGAGCAACAACAAAATTCAATAATACCATCTTGTGTGAATTGGTCTTATATGTGGCGTCAATTATAACACATTCAGATAATATACGCGCTTCCTCAATCCCATGTTGATGAATAAAGAAAATGGATTGGATTCTATTATCTTCGTTAGTTAAATATCTAACATCGTGGTTTGTTGTTTGGAGGTGTCTTATAAAATTCCAAATGAAAATGCTATCATCTCTACATAACTGTTGTTGGATATTCGTAAGATCGATCACATTAACGTTGCAAAAGTCTCTTGTTTTTAACATCTACAAACAAAACGATTTATTTTAAGAAACAATATTTATTGTTAGTGTCGTTTGAGAATGTTTTTAAAGTATGCGTATAATATGTCTTTATTCAAAAAAAATCGATCACAAATAATGCTAACTCCTTGCCAGATCCTACTTTTACTATCAGCTTCCTTACCTCCAAAACTCCACTGGGAGTGCTTCCGCTTTGCATCATCTTGATTGCAAATTCTTGATTATCTGCTTCCAATTTCCTGTTAACATGATACATTTGGTGGTTGTTGCTAACTGGGTGCGTGTGGTCAAAACAAGCCTTGTTTATATACCAGCGATTGTTCACGTCTTTGGTATCCAACTTGGTGTGAATAAAAGCAGTACATCCAACCTTAACAGTCTTACGATTAGGTCTTTTCAAGACACTCTCCCCATCATTATTGTCTTCTATTTCACTTTTTTAATCAAACTAGATCAGCCATTCACTCAATACATACGTACTTTCTTCGCCTCTGGTGTTACGGTATTCTCCAAAATGCTTGCATACGAGTTTCATGTAAACTTTATCGCTTCTGAGTGTCTCAAAAGGCATGTTATGAGACTTACAAAATCTTCGATCTCGTATTTGGCCGACTGTTTGTCAGCGAACTTTTTACTTCCAGGAAACTCCTTTCCAAAAGCCTCTTTCATACTTACGACAGCTTCGCTACTACCAACAGTCTGCTCAAAAGATGGTACCGGAAAGTCAGTCAAATAATTTTCCTCGTGATCTTCTGCTGCATTCTCTGCGACACTGATGGAGTCCCAGTCAAACTCGTTCAAGATAGCGTTTTTGCCGGGATTTTCGTGTTTTACATTCTCATTTTCTAATGTTTGGTCGAAGCCATCGTTAATTTCAACATCATTACTGAACTCGGACAGAAGTGTTTGAATTAGCAAGTCCTTGTCGCTGATGTCATGTTCAGTCATTTTTTTCATAGTGAGATTTTCTTAGGAAGTAAAAAATGGTGTCCGTAAAAAAAACGGTGTCCCCGAAATTATTTTATAGTGCAAAAAAAAAAAAATCCGGGCCGGACAGAAAAACGGTGTCCGTAAATATTTTTTACACCAAAAAAAACGGTGTCCGTATAGTTACCCATAAAAAAACGTTGGTTGTAGAAATAGGTTTGGAGTGGAGCATATTGGTCACCACGATCCTTGGCTTACTCAAACTATAAATAAGGTTAAGATGTAATTAGGCCACATGTATAAAGGAACCTACCATATTCCTGATGGGACCACTCTGTCATTCAAGGATGGATACGAGACATTTGGCGTGTGTCAAATACCCTTAGATTTGGCAAACACGTACAGAATTGAGCCAAGTACCAGAATAAACAGTCAGAATGTGTCTACTCGCATTGCTGTGTAAAAGTAAACAAGACCGAGCAATCTGTATAAGAATACCTTGCGTTGCTGCAAATCGTTGCGCTTGCTGTTGTACGTGTGCACACAATGGAAGAAAAAAACGTTTTAAAACGATTTTAGAAAGAAACCCTCAGTATAACGGGAAAGAGCCAAAGTGGGAGGATTTCTAATCATTTCCTCAGATTTCTGTAACAGCCAAGAAAACAACAATACGGGTAAAAAACTGTTTTATAAAACGCCGTATCATCTCAAATCATACTATGGTTGATATATTGAATACAAAACCGAACGCGTACCTACCGAAGCTACCAACGCAACCTCCATGGAAATTGTTGAAAATGCTATTATACCTTCTAATCGACCTCAAGTTCAATATCTTGAGCCAACTAACCTTTTGCTCTTTTCAAATACATATACGAACATAGCTCCAAGAACAATCTCGCCAACACAAATTTCTACCTCCACTCGCAATTCCCAATCGCCACAGCGTATTCTTCCTGCCATTCGATTTTTGGATCTGCATACATCACGTGCCTGTAAACCATCTGAGCCAAAACCAAAGAAACAAAAAAAACTTAGATCATGCATTCGATGCTTAAACCTTCCTTGTCACAATTGTAGTCTAACTGCTTGTGAAGGCCGTCAAAATCCTTCACATTGCCATGTATTGCTAAACAATCAACCATAATATTTTCAGATTTTATAAGTTAATAAAAATATCTTTTCTTTACAGTTCATAAAAAAATCTCCGAACGGTCTCCGGCCGTTCGATATATAATTTAGTTTAGGTATGATATGGCGGCCGATTTTGCACTGTCATTGGTAGGATTCAAACCTGATTTACTTCTACCAGCATTACTGACATTTGCTCCAGTTTCAATTTCAAAACTTTCCATAATCTCATCATACATGGGAGTTTTAGTTTTTTTCTGTTTCTTGTTTTTTTTCTTCTTATCTTTGTTATTCTCCTCACTTTTCATCTGCAACGTCATCAATCGATTGCTTATTACGAATACTTCCAAAAAACGTTTCTTTATTGAAGGGCTTATCTTGAATAGTTCCAGTGTCAGAAGCCCAAGAGTCGTTCGTAAACCTAGCAGAAAGATGTGGCTCCAATTCGAAGTACTTGGGACGATTTTCGAATAGTGTTTCTACAAATATATATAGGTGAGCATGGTATAAAGGACACTATATTACATCGCTTGATCTTGAATTGTTCGGACATGCTTACACGTGGGACATTTCCTTTACCTACTACACCCGTTTGGTTGAAGAGTTTTTTTGATTCTTCATAAGACGCCGATATATTCATAATTTGGTGCAAATAGTTTTTTTCTTTCGTTTGACGCTATGCTTGGCAAACTGGTTTGCACATTGTTGACACACCCATGTTCGTGATTGTCCCTGGGTTGTTTTTCCCGTTATTGCATCGGGAATACCACTCCATATATCAAGGTACTTGCCATTGTTATCCAACAAGAAATTTTTCACGCGGTCCATTGCCGGTTTATTGTCATTACCTTCCCCAACAAACCATGACCTGTTTTTTCTATGTTGATTATCAAACTGATTACATGTGAAGTATTCCGCTTGTGGCTTAAGTCGATATTTCTGGGTAACATCTCCCTCTCTTTACCCTTATTATTTCGGATGTTAGGAGTGGTTATGTAGTGATCCACCTACTGTTGGTACTAATCACACCATAAAACATTACTAAATCAAATCTCATTTCATCATCCCATACGTTATTACATCACAACACAAACTAATTTCTTATACATTATATCATATCCAACTACAAGCATTATTTTAGTGCTGTGTAACTTATCCATCAAACTAAATTCATAATCTGATTTCACTTAACATATATCAATATGCAAACTGATAGTTGGAATAGAACCCTCTCAATCTTTGAATCTACTTTTACTCTTAATAAAACTTGTAAGCAGTCTCAAAGCATTTTATTGTTTTTATTCATCTATCTCCATCCTCAACTATCAAAGGTTAGAGATGGGTGGCTATCAGTATTGTTTGTCAAAAGCTTCGTATTATCCATGGTTAAAAATTTGAATCCTTTATTTTCTTAATTTTTTTTAAAAAAAGCGATGAATAAGCGAAATATGTCGATGAAATATGAGATATTATATCATGGAACACAAAATGTTTACGTTAATTTAGACTATTTTCTGTTTTTGCAAAAAGTCGCAAAAAATCATTGAAAAATCATTCCCTGAAATATTCTTGCAGAATTTAAGATTTTTGGTTATGAAACCTCTATCGTTGTACATTCCATTATTTTTTCGGAATTCAGTACTCGTAAGATGTTTTCCAGTCAAAAGTGTTCGCATGAAAGCAGTCGACATGGCAAGTATATTGATTTTGACTTTTTTATTGTTGTATTAAAAAGAAAGTTTTTGATTCGTTACTTGTTCTTCTTTAACCCGCACGGCATTAGAATTCGGACATCGTTCTGTCATCCCTCGTACATTATGACGTCAAAAAAATCAGAAGTCGAATATTCACGGTATATACCTCTACGTTAACGAAGAAAATTCATCTCTACAAACCTATCGTGGCACGCACGATTCAAGTCATGATCTCTGAGGAAATAGAGAAAAGGCTGGAAAGTGTGTTTTGCGTTCCAATTCCATTTTACCTATGAAAGATCGTAAGTTACGTTCGGGATCGGCCCTGTTCGTGGCGTCATTCGAAGCTTCAGGTTGACTCTTAGAGTCTCTATTACTGTTACTGGTTTTTGGGGCTCTGTCCATGTTAATTCGTCTTGATTGTTTTTTACCTTTTGAGATTAGCGGATTACACTGTGTTAAGTCTGGCTCTGCCACTGCGTCAAAGACTACATCCACTGAAACAAATAAATTTGTCTTCACCAATGTTAGACATTAGTTATTGCTTCTGGAAAAAGTGGCTGAACAAAGTCAAAATTTCTTTATCTTCAATTTATAGTTGTGACACCCAATTTTCAGAAACGGTCAATCGATTTTTTTCACTCAATTTGTATTATTCCCATATATGTCTGCTGCTTTGACTTGCGCATCGTTTGGTCGTGCATTAAAAAAAAACAGCCCGAACTACTAAACTTAATATATACTGCAAAGTCATAATAATCATTATAATATTAATACATGTCAGCTGCTTTGAATTGCGCATTGTTAGGCCGCGCAAAAAAAAAGAACAGCCAGAAGTATTAAATTTCGTATATACTGCAAAGCCAAAACAATCATTATAATATTATTGATACAGAGTTATATATATGATATTTGAGTTTTCTAGTTATTTTAGTCCGAATGTTATGGTGAAGGATTGTTATTTATGCAATAACATTCCACGATATTAGTACTAATGATTGTGGTAATATTATAACTCTGATGAAAAAACCGATGACATCAACGTTTAGCGACAGAAACATTAAAAGGTCACGTCGTTGACATACTTTTGCCAGGCCATGCATGTACCTTTTCGCTGTCCAAAACAAGTTTGACGATGTTCTGTCGTGAAGTCTGAGCTCTTATAAATCTGTAACCGACATCGATAATCTCCGTACCGGTTAAGAACACTTAAACTATTCAACGAATGTTTTGAGATCATTTTAATTTATTTTGGGTACTCCGTAAACGTTATTAGATCATCCCAAACTATAGGATCGTATCGGATAACGGACCAGAATAGCAAAAGCTATCGGATCTTGACGGATAACGGACCAGAGTTCCTAAAAGTATAGGATCTTGACGGATAACGGACCAGAGTTCCCAAAAGTATCGGATCTTGACGGACAACGGACCAGAATTCTCTAAAGTATAGGATCTTGAAGGATAATGGACCAGAGTTTCCCAAACAACTTCATTTCAAATATTCCACGAATTGGCCCTAAGCTTTTAAAATAAAAACAAATGTCTTTATTTTGTGTTTTTGCTAGGATCTAGGTTCAGGTAGCTCCTAACCACCAAATAATGGTAATATCAAAAACTACTTGCGGTAGTCGAGTGAGAGCCAACTTTTATGCGTCCTCCTATGTATGTTTTAAATCCGGAGGACCAAAACTCAGACTTTAAATTACAAAAACTGAATTTTAAAGGAAATAAAAGTCCGATCAATCTCAATTTTGGAGACGATGTTTTTATTAGACTAGCAGCCGTTTCTGCGAATTTCAAATCGCGATAATTGTCTGTAGCAGGACTGTAAAAAATTAATTGTTTTCGGGTAATTTATGCTAAGTAACAACGTATTTGATGCAAAGTACTTGCTAGGTACGTTTTTGAATTGCAACTTTCTATTCTAGAAATTTTAAAATGCTTACTTATCACTAGGAATTAGAAAACACCCGTTGGAAAATTTTGTGATTTTACGGTGATATTGACAGGGCACACGACGTATCCTTCACAATAACCTGGTACAACTGTCTTGGGTATACGCCGCGCATGCAGGATACGGTACAAAATATTTTGTATATTCTGCTAAGTATTTCAACATGATACATGATATATTCTGTGCCGTATTTTGGTAAAATTATACGCTGTATCGTGTGATATATCCTTTGCGTGCATGGGACACTCAATACCGTGTATCAGACTATTAACAGGATACATCATGTACTATATGATGTATTTTGCGTTATTTGATATAGGATACGACGTAAAAGAAACTGTCGTTGGTTCTTGTACTTTAAGATGATGCTTTGTTATTGGCCTTTATTTTTTAGATCATACTAAATGAACCCTTTGATCAATAGATGAATGTGTGTTATCGCGCTCTTATCACGAATTACATGTCGTATTTGCGATATTATTTGTCGTTAAAAATGAATTTTATTTATAAAACGGGCTCAAGTGGGTCTAATTATCACGTGATATTACAATTATTTTACGATACACACCTTTAATTGCACAACCAGAAGCCAAAAAAAACATAGATTGCGAGCGTCACATGAATACAGTGTCAACAATACATGAGTAATAATGGGATTCTTTGCCAAACGAAGGAAGCAGCATTTGTCACAGACAGACCAAACAGACATGGTATCATTGCAGCCAATAATAATGTGGCTTGTTGTTACACAGGATGTGATCTTTCCTATAAATACGCTTCCTTTTCTTATTTTCAATATAGATTTTTCAGTTTTGTCCTCGACTAAATTTGGGATTTATCTTGTAATTGATATTAGTAGTACTTCCTCCGCTTTTTGTTGCTGTTTGTTGTTCATTTTCAATTATACAATCACATCATCTTCTAACATAAATCCGTCGTAAACTCTTTTACATCTAAGAACTATATTCTATTATCGAGCTGCCTACGATTATTGAACAGGCTGTCTCCGATTCTGATACAGACCTGTCAGATGCGTACCAGCCTTCGAAGATTGCTGAAAGTGGTTCTTCAACGTCTAAGTACGCCACAACTGTAGAAACGGGGTGCATGGAAATTGAAGAAGACGAGGGTACATTACCGGTGACCGCTCAGACATTCCATTTGGCTGATAAAATGGTTGATGGTGGAAGAAAAATGCTAGGACAAAAGCGTTCCATTTTGGGTAAACAGAAGGCTATCAAGCAAACCTCCAAAGGTCCTGCTCCTAAGTTAGTTGTCCAGACGCAACATGCTCTTAAAGGTCACAAAATGTTTACGAAGACAAAGGTTGCTAAACCAAAATAGTTTAGCTTTCCCTTTTTTTACTTCTATATCTAACATGTTAAATAAACTCACTGTTAATACAAAAAAAAAAAAAAAAAAAAAAAAAACTATATTCTATTATCATCTCAAGTGTTCGAACTTTTCGAGCTTGCACCGATCTTGCGCCAGTTCGAACGAAGCTCGAACCGAGTTTTTGTACTCGAGCTTGCGCCACTTTTTTTGGGTTCGAGCGAGCTTCGATCGATGCTCGCTCGAAGCTCGCTCGGCTAAAATGTCGATAGTAGTCACTTTAAAGTTAAGGGCCTTGAAAGACTACAGATGGCATTTCCCCTTGATTTTAATCTTTTCTTCCCTTTACCATTTTTTTTTATTTATGCTCTAATAATTCCAATTAAAATGCTTTGGACTTTTATTTAATTGTACAACCAGCAAACACATTTACCATAGAAAATGAAACAGTGTTGCACACTATACCCAACTAAGCCAATTTTTTACAGCAATCATAGTAACATGACGTAGCAGAATTAATTTAAACTTTCATGTTCACAAATCCAAATGTATTATAATTATAGATGCAGTAATAGTTTGATTTAATTATCCGAATTTGGTGTTAAGGCTGGTGAAAAAAAAAACTTTTTCTTTTTCCAACTTCTATTTCAATAAATAACAATTTTATTATCATAATTTTCTGTAATTAACATCACTTTGACGTGCACTTTGTGGAATAAAAAAAACCGACCTCCGGCCGGTTTTTTAGGCGTTCTTCAGACTGCCGATCGGGACCTGCGGCCCTCTCGTGGGACTGAGGTTTTTGTTTATTTGCTGTTCGGGACTTACAGCCCCTCACTCACTAATCAGTTAAAATCATGTAAATGCTTGTAGTATGAATGCTGTGTTTGCCCGTTCGGGACTTACAGCCCCTCACTGACTAATCAATTTAAATCGTGTAAATGCTATAGTATGGATACCATGATGGCCGTTCGGGACATACAGCCCATCACTCGCTTATATAATCAATAAAAAAGTGTGACTTCTGAAAAGTGATGATATTTTTAAGCACTGTTTTTGTTGGACATAGTATTTTTTTTAACCCTTTTCCCTTAGGCTTTCTAACTCCGTAAATACTCCGTGAAGAACGCCAAAAAGGGCGAGCGAGTTCGAGCTATGGTATTCGCAACCGAGCCGAGCTTAAGAAACTTCGAGCGAGCTCGAGCTGCAAAAAAACGCATCCGAGCGAGCTTCGACTGGAACACGATCGAAGCTCGCTCGAGAGTTTCGATCTTCATTCCGAACACTAATCATCTCTCACTGTATTATTATCGATTTACATTTACTTGTCTTATCCATATATTTTATCGTCTAAGATCACTTCAGAAATATTCTTGATAAATAATAAAACTAAGTTGACAACTAAAAGTCTGATGCTCACTATCACAGTTGTCTTATAATAATAATTGTCCCTTTATAAATCTAAATCCGTACTAGCGCTATATGTATGTCCTTTTATTGCTAATCATGGGCAATTTTTAGACTTTCATAAACAAAAAAAGGAACGGGGAAGAACTTTTTCTTAAATTTTCGAAAAAAAAACTAAGATACTTTTTTTCTGGGAAACTTTTTAAGTGTGAAACCGTTTTTATTGGACAAAAAATGTTTTTAAAAAATGTTTCCCACTTTTTTTTTAAAATTGAGACCCTTTATTATGCCTAATATATTACAAGACACTATCCAACCCTACGAGCCAACCTCTCAAAAAAGTAAAATAAGAACTCGTGCAATTTATCATCTAGACGATTTTCCTCGGATTTTGAAACGGACAAATTGTCAAGCCCTAATTCAGTCTCGTAGTTATAATTTTGGGGATTTGTGATCACTGTTTATGCTACTTAAAGTGGTCAAAATTGTATTTTAATAAAAACGACTTTCTAGGGGCCAAAATGTACGGCCCCCACTGAGACCGACAATATTACCTAAAAAGACCTAAGCAATAAGCAGTCATGTACATATGTTTGTGAAATACTTTTATATATTTAGACAAGATCGCAACCCCAGCCGACTTCGGTGATTTTTGACCTTCGCTTCGCTACCGTAAAAATAAGCTACGTTCCTGCTCGGGGTAATCTCGCGCTTGTAGCGGCCTGCCGACGCCAGTTAATGCTTATAAAAGGGATAAAAATAAATTTTATAGTTAGTGAATAGTATATGTTTAATTTTGTGCTCCAGTTAAAACTTCGTTAGATACATCATTGTCTGTGATTGTTGATAATGGTGGCTGTTTTAGTAAGATTATCATGAGATTATTAGGGTCAGACACCCTAGATAAAGCAGTACAAAGTTTACCGTGCGTGCAAACGGGTTTAATAAGACAAACGGCAGCGAAAGAAAGGGTTTGAGATTCATTCCAAACGCAGGTTGCACAGGAAATTGACGTCGACGGAGGCTAAATAGTACGTTGAAATTTTTTGAAGATATTAGTACCCTGGAAATCAAAACAATGCAATCTGCTCTATCACCAACAGAAATGTCAGCATCTATAAACGTTCTTGTGAAGCTTCTTCAAATTAACCTTGTGCTATTACAGAGACCCTCTCCAGGGTTGCCGTTTCTTAAACACATGATTGTCTAAAATCATTTATGAACCAACGTGTTTGGTGTCATTTCTGATGTTTTAATAGCATTCAGCGATTCGACAGAGAAATTGGTTGCGCTTGAATTTTGTGTCTCTTCGATCGAGTCATCCAATAAATATACCATGAATATATCTGGTAATTTTTCTTGCCTACATCATTGTTTTTATCAGCTGTAGTACTATGCGCCGCAAGAATAGATTTACTAACAATGCAATCTCTGTTCTCGTAACAGCCACTAGTTGTTAGTGAATCTTATTTGTCGTGAGCCTCGATGTCATCAATTGAGCGATCGGCGTTAGAATAACCTCTTACTAAATTAGACAGATCAAAAGATGACCAACACTAAATTAGTATACTTTAGTGTTAACATTAGTCAAAGAACTAATTTAGTACCATATTCAATACATATAAAAACCAACAAAATAATATAATAAAACAGCATCTTTATTCTCATTAAAAAGTCTCGGTAATAAGTTTAGCTACGAAGGAATTTAACTACAAACTCCTATCTCTATAAACTATCAACCAATCATCTGGTATCACTGTAACCACCGACTTCCCTCTTATTTTATATTTATGCTACGTCACTTCATTCATTTTTTTGTATGTTGTTAACTCAGCTATCAAAAGCTTGCGTTTCAGGATGTGATTTCTATAAAGCGCAATCATTTTTTTTATATTTTATCTTTCATTCTTTTTTTTTTCCTTTCATTATTTTTATTTATATTATTGTAAAGCGTTCTGTTTGGTGTTTTAAACCTTTTTTTTAATTAACCAACAAGTGGTACAATTCCTCAAATAAATGTTCAATTAGCTCTATATAATAATTCTTTTATGTTCCTAGTTGGTTCTTTAAATTTTATAGAATAACCGCTGTTTGGAAAACCCAAATAACAAGTCCAAATAAACCGAATCATCAAAGACGTCATATGCAACATCTTCATTTGACTCAATGTATTTTTGTTCTGTGTTAGTTCAGACGTACTGCCCATCACCCTAATTGAATTAGTGCTAATGAATATTCTTTTAACTCAATTCTAAGCAATATTTTTTTCACTCAGTGTTTTATATCCTGTGTTGGTCGGAACTTACAGCCCATCCCAAGTCACTCCGTGTTATGACACATTTTTTTTCGATCAATCTTTTGTGTACTGTGTTGATCGGGACTTACAGTCACTCCCATCTTACTCAATGCTAGTCCATAATGTTTTCACTGAATGTTATATTTACATTGTTGATCGGGACTTACAGCTCCTTCCAATTCACTTAATGCTAATGTCAGGAGCGGACAGGCGGACAGGACAGACAGAAGAATACTTGCTTACAAGAACAAAAAAATAAAAGATAATTATTGTAAGAGAGAGAGAGAGAGAGAGAGAGAAAGAAGAAAAGAGGAGAGAGGGTTGTGAGATAATATATCTGATGAAGGGGAAGAAAGAAGAGGGAAAATTAGGCTATATTTATAGTAAAGGATTGTATAGATACTTAGCATAAAAATAAGCAATGTCAAAGTTTAGTAAGTCATTACTTATTTATGACAGATATTCGATGATTGATGGCTGACACGTAGATGACAAGGTTCTGACAAAGAATTACCAAAATCAATGCATCTACCTGACACGATCATGACAGCTAATAAATGTTTTCTTCACTCAATGTCATCTGTACCGTGTTGGTCGTAAATTGTAATCCGTCCAAACTCACTCAATGTTTTAGGCTAATTATACGCGCACCATAATTTTTGTTTGAAAAAAAATCGCGCACCATTTTTTTTTTTTTTTTATAAATCCTAACTTTATTTAAGATTCAATTAAAGTCACACGTCATAATGAGAGGTATGCCGTCATAGTAGAATGATATAATAAGTAATGAGTTAAATTGTGAAGAAAAACAAAAGTTAAATAAAGACAATTAAATGATAAGAAAATCAGCTGAGTTCACGTTGTGCTGGTTGATACAGGTGTAAGCGATACCAATGATAATGCAGACAACCTGATCTGGGATAAAAAGTGTGGAATCAAAAATAAAGCTCCAGTAGTGTTTCCAAATGCCTTCAAGAATAGAGCCAAAAAGAAAAATTGGGGTGGTTTGAAGATGGAACATATAACGACTGGGGAAGTTGAACGTGTATATACTGAATAGGACCTCGGACGGTTTAAGCAAATATAAGGCAGGTAATTGCAGATATAGATATGTGAAGGATCGTTTCCAAATCTGCCAAACACGCTGACAAGAGACGAACAAATGCTCGGGGTAATGAGAGCTCGCAGAGCATAACGGGCAGAGAGATGAGTCTACAAGCTGTGGGAGATATCTATGCGTGGTGAGGGTCGTATTAACCTTATTATGCAGAATTTGAAACCTGACGTTTTTAGACCGAACGTTCAACCG